TATTAAAAAAAATCCAGAATTTACTGTAGTGTGAGAAATGTGACATTTTTTCTCTAGGCATCCCCTTTTCTCTAATTTATTCACCACCTCTCCAATAAGTAAGAAATTTAACATAAATTACTCACTATAAAATCATCATTGCTGAGTCAAAGCATAATTTTTTATAGCCTTCATTCTTGTTTGTTTACAGAACTATCAAATAAAAAATCAGACTCCTCTTGCTGCATGCACCTGTCACATTATCTCTTTCAGGATTTGTTAATAGTTCTCTCTTACATTTAATAATACACTATTTATAACCAACAGAAATCCAAGGTTTTCATCTATCAAATGACATATTATATTACATTGTGTTCTGAACAGAAAATTGTCAGTTTCTCTTTTAGTGCAAGCTTCATTCCCACAGGAAACATATTGAGTAGCTCGGATGAATTTGTAAGAGCTCTTGTCACATAGTTAGAAAGCCAGAAAAATTGTGATAGTTATGGGAGATTATCTGATTTGTGAACGTTATTATTCTATGCTTTTCGATGCATTATTTAATTAAATAAAAATGATTTAGTGCACTACTACTGTTAGTATAAAAAAGTAGGGTCAAGTGTCATCGACAGTCGATAGCAAAAAAAGAAGGTCCAGGTAAGTACTTTATTTCTTGTCCTTCATGTGTATTCTTTACTTATTATTATAAAAGTAACTAAAATGTAAAAATATGAATTTCTTTAGGTTAGTTAAGGTTAGATTAGGTAAAATAATTAATAATAAAATAATAAAGAATCTTCACAATGAACAAGCACGAGCAGCTTGGAGAAATGTAATTTGATAGCATAGCACCAGCCTCATGTTCCCCAAGTGATTTACAACTTATAATGACATGAACAGAAAGTTAGACATGAATTCAAAGAACAATTAAACAATAAAATTTAAGTATAAATAGATGTATACTGTTACGAGTTTAAAGCTACTTAGGATAAACAAATACAGTGTCATGTTATAATTTGAAGTCATTATAGAAAGGAAAAAAGGGTAATTTAGAATTATTTAGATTGGTCAAATTGACCAATCTTGTATAGAGTTAGGGTAGAGTAAACAAACAAGCGACTGAAATGTATTTAAGAGGTTTTAGAGACATTTGAGGTTTTTGATATGAAGAAAAGAATTTTTAATCTCAACATGAAAATCACTTTACACTCAGACTAGTAAAAAAAAACTTGATATGTTTATGGACATATAATTTTTTTTTAGTTTATTAAAAATACTTAAAAAAATTGATTTTTTGATGTAAAAGACTTGTAATGTTTAGTGAAAGTCTGCAAAATTTTGTGAAGATAATTATACTATATTAAAAGTTAATCATCTCATAACTATAACGACTTTAAACGAGTACAAAGTGGTTATGTGATTGGTCAATTTGACTGAGCCCGTGTAGAGAGAGTTAATTAAATCTTAAATGTAACACTCTAATAGGTCATGACATGTAAACTTTGATCTACCCATCACAAAAGGGTTAAAATCTGTCATTATTTATAGAAAACAACCATGGTATTTTTGTTTTAATGAAAAATATTTCTTGAAAAAAATGCATGATTCTTGATTTACTTACAGCTTTAGGCACTAAGAATGTGGAATGGATTTCATAAGCCCATTTCTTCATTTCTTTTCCATTTCCTTCCTCATATATTTGTGCAATAAGGTAGAAAAACTGTAACCAAAATCAGCATTTCTTAAGAAGACATTTTTTGTCAAAAACAACTGATCAACATTTCTTGAAACTATATTATTTGACAAAAATATTTTTTTCAGATACATCCACTACACCAATAAAAAATGTGAAATGTTTACAACCTGTTTTGGCATTTTTCTAAATTACCTTCTTTCTTTAGAAGTCTCAATATATTTGAGGATAATAGGAATAAAAAGATAAACATTACATTTTGTATTTATAATTTAGATGTGTTATTAAAATTCTTAGTAATTTCTACAGATCATCAGAACTCCATGTAATTAGTTCAAAAGTACTGACAAACTAAATGGTTTGGATTGTTATGAATTTAGTGCATAGCTACATGAGAGCTATCTGCACTAGCCGTCCCTAATTTAGCAGTGTAAGACTAGAGGGAAGGCAGCTAGTCATCACCACCCACTGCCCACTCTTGGACTACTCTTTTACCAACAAATAGTGGGATTGACCATCGCATTATAATGACGCCACGGCTGAAAGGGCGAGCATATTTGGTGTGACAGGGATTCAGATCCACGACCCGCAGATTATGAGTCGAGCACCCTAACCACCTGGCCGTGCCGGGCCCACAAACTAAATGAACAACCCTCATAATATTCCATTTACAAACTCTGAAAGGTCAGTCATCTATAATTAGCAGTAAGTGAGAATCAGAAATACAACATTTACTATAACAAACAATACTTTTCATTCAGTTTGTATAGAAATCTTTTGCTGAAAATATAGAGAAAATAAAGCTTACTGAAGCTGGTTTTCCACTTATGGAAATAGTACTCCATTTTTTTGTGATATTCATCAAATTTAAAGGAAAGTAATGAAGATTCTGTTATAGTTTACTTAGATTATATTTTGTAAAGAAACAAAAGCTTTGGTTTACAAATTAAAACAAGTTACATATTAAATTATGTTGTTATCCATCAAGTTTTAATGGCTTTGAAAGCGCAGTTGTAGACAAATGCAAGCTTTGAATAAAACACAAGTTGTGTGCATTCAAAAGTGTCCTCAGATGCAGTACAGTGACTGTATAAAAATGCCACAAAAGATTGTTAACCTTGATAACATTATTTGATTTTAAAATTATATGACTGACTTCATTTGTAACTGTAATATCCACACAAAAGTTCTTACTGGTTTTTTGAATTTTTCCAAAGTGCCATGATCAACTAATCAACCAACTTTATGTATGAATAAATTTTCAGGAAAAAAAATCTTATTTTCCTCAATATAAAATTTATTTTATTAGTAACAAACAAAGCTTTTAGTTGGTATACTTGCTAATTTTGAGGTAAAAATATCAGTCTTTTATATTATGTTTTTTAATATAATAAAATACCTGAAAAAATATCCACACACACAGGTGTCACCCTGGTGACAAAACATAATTTACAATTAATATTCAATTCATGCCATGTATATTATATAATGTAGATAAGAATTAAGTAATTTTATTCACCAAACTAGAGGGATCACTGTTGGAGATCAGGTAAGACATGAACACGGCTAAATGTGCAGGATGCATCAACAATTTCCAGGCTGTCTCAAATGGACCATGCTTATTTTGCAGTCCCTATAAAAATACACGCATCTCATGAAATCTATTTATGGCTGGTAAGCACAAACACACAATAATAAATCATTTTGACTCACTGCTACTAGGTTTATGCCATTATCTTATTTTACTTAAATTTTAATTGTATTGTTTGGCTATTTAAAAAAAGATGAATTAGTATAATTATAAATAAAAAACAATACCTATATAAATACATGCTCCTTTATCACCCTAAAAAACAAACACTTCAAATATCATACACTTAGTCAAAGACATTCCCAAAATAAAAGGTATATTTTGTACTGAATAAAAGCACATAAACTGATGTTAGGTTTCAATCTTTAAAAACCTCTTCTTTCAGAAATAATTCAAAAGGTAACAACAACCTTAATTATGCTAAACAAACTGCTACTGATGATGATGACTAGGCAGTAGCAAAGTTTAAAAACGTTAACTAGTAAGAATTCACATTTATTTAATTTTATTAATGTGTATCATAATTTTTCATTAATACTATGTGCACAGATGGGGGTCAAAATGCATGTCACGACTTTTACAGAGTTACATTCAAAATCAAATTAATTAATTGATCAACATTATTAGCATTGTACGTCAACAAACTTGGCATCAAAACACGATCTAAAATTCAAATTTTAATGTACGTTTTAATTCTTTAATTTAAAAATGAAATGCATAAATAAATGCTCAGTCTTCACTTTTATGTGACATGTAATGCTTTCTGCTCTGAATTCTTCATTCTAGATTTTCATGTTTCAAAACATCCAATAATTACAAACACCAACAATAGGTGTTGACAGGCCAGAATGTGAAATAAGAACCTCCCTACCTTCATTATTTTCTGAAATAACAGTAAATTTGTTACAGCTACCAAAGAAGTTCCTTCCAATTTTTCATGCTTTCAAAATTACTTATTTTCTCATGCTTACTTTGTCAATTTTATGATCAACAGCAAGGCCATTTGTGAACTACATGATTATATCTTTATGTTAATTTATTTCAGTAAAATGCACCATTTCCCAAGCAGATTTTATCGAATGAAGACCAAAGTCAATGCTCCAATAAGTAATATAATTTTTTAAACCTTTTTATAGGTCCGTTAGAAAGAAAAAAATTATAGTAGTTTTGGGGCATTCTGTTTTACTGTTTGAATTATTGTTTGTGTTTTAAAATGCATATTTGAAAGCTACATGAATTATGTTTTGGAAAACCAACTTAGTGAAAAAAGTTAGGGTAAATGACCAACTTTCAAGAGCAAAAGACCTCAATCTTGAAGTAAGTAATAAATTACTTATTTTTATCTGTATTTTTTGTTTATTGATATCTTATTTTTAAAAGAGAAACTAAAATTAAACAAAAATCATTAAATAAAACATTTTTTGCCTCAAGTAATGCACAAAGAACATACACAGTTAGATGTCGTGTTCTGTAACCTCAAATTTTCTTTACCCTAAACTCTCCACACTCCTACTGGGTGACTTATTACTATTCATGGTAGTTAGATAAGGTTCACAGGGTAGTAAAACAATAAAATTAAATGAAAACAGATGTAAACCATCATAAGCCTAAGACTGTTTAGAATGAATAATCATAATTTCCTGTTACAATCTGCAGTCATTATAAAAAGAAAAAAGGGTAATCTTGATTCATTTGTCATTTCTTTTTGTGTTGGTTACAAAACCAATCAAGTGGACTGAGCACATATAATGTGAAGTTAGATAAAATAAAAAGCTTTACTGAAAAATGAATACATTTTCTATTCATTCAGGAGATTCTAGAAGTTATGCAAATAAAATAAAAAACTGTAAGATGAAAAACTAGTTTTATTCTTAATATGAAAATCATCTTACACTTGGAATAGTCAAAGTCTGAGTTAAGACTGTCTAAAGTAAATTCAAAGACAAATCTTTAAACACTTTATTAAAAATTCTGATTTTTTTATGTACGTACTATTAATATTTACTAAAAGCTTATCAAATTTTGTGAAACTACACTAAGTTAATGTGGAACTATAATAAACATTAACTCTGCAATACAGAATTGTTACAATGAACAGACTCTGTGCACTTAGGGTTAATTCAAGATATACTTTAGGAGTCTCACAAAAATAAAACACGGATTTCAGAAGGGTTCAAGTATGTTTCCTTGTGATTAGCTTTTTTCAAAGGAAATGTTCTGTAAAGTGATGAAAACCTAAGAAGTCTTTATTTGTAACTTGCTTTCATCTTTTGGTGAGAAAAATATTATTTTCTGGACAGAAACAACATTCCAGATCTCAAAATTTAACTGCCGAAGAATGTCTTACGAACTAGTAATACATAAAAGAACTGCAGCTGATCTGGCTAAGATTTTTAGAAAACTTTACAGGTTCAGGAAATAACATTTCTCTACTCCAATAATCTCACTGTGATTGCTGCAAGACTGGTGATACAACATGAAATATACAAGTTAGTAATAAATGTATATTTTGAAATCTTAGAAGAGTCATGTTCTTAGTTAAACTTGTTTGGGTTAGTTCACTGAATGAATTGGCACAATAGAATATTTGCCTATGCTGTACAGGATAGACATGTCAAAATCATCTTTTCTCATACAAGATAAAAAGTTAACATTAAAAACTAAATATACCGCTATCTGTTAAATACATGAAATTTGTATGTTAATGACTTTCAGAAATAACTATATTTTCTGTGTAGTTAATAAAATATCATATGTAGCATACAATGAAAGACTGCAGCAACATCCAAAAACATATTTGATATGAACTGTTCTTAACATATTAACATGTTCTTAAATTTTTCCAATAATTTTACTGTTTTATAACTTTTTGCAGAATTTAAACTATTTAAAAAAAATTTTCATGCATCATTTCATAAGTTTTAATCTAGTGTGTTTAAGAAAAATGAGCTTACTGGCTGAGAGTCTGGTGGCCAGTCATCATCATCATCTTCCATTGACATGATTGGTGATATAGTTCCAACTTCACATAAAACATTTGAGCTACAAAAGCTTTCAGGTGGTGTACCATATACCTGAAGAAATACAATTATCACAATGAGCATTATTAAACATAAATTATTAATAAAAACTAGATTCTGTAATGAATATAAAATAAATAAAGGAAGTACCTTGTTATGTAAAACTTGTTTATTATTAGTCTGTTTGTTTTGAATTTCATGCAAAGTTACACGAGGGCTATCTACACTAGCCATCCCTAATTTAGCAGTGTAAGACTAGAGGGAAGGCAGCTAGTCATCACCACCCACCGCCAACTCTTGGGCTACTCTTTTACCAATGAATAGTGGGACGGAGATTCGAACATGCGACCCTTGAGCACCCTAACCATGCCGGGCCTGTTTACTGTTAGATATACAGAGTATAATATTTATGGTTACAATGTTTCACAAGGTCAACCTGGCATTATCAAGTACAACAACTACAGAGAATGAACTAGTGATCTAGATAATAGAAAAAACTAGCCGATTGATACACTGATATTTTATTGGCTGAGCTTAACAAGACTGCAAAGCATAAAGAAAATTTTGCAAGAAGTCAAACAATTAATGCTATTTTTCTATACATGAGGAATCTTGATCATAAAATCAACTAGAAATCAGCCATATTAATATACAAAACTCAAAATTATGTCAAGAGAAAATCTGTTGAAGGTTTGTTAATTGAAAGGCTGTCAAACTTAAAACACCAATAAAGGTCAATTTAAACCGAGCCCCCCCCCCCTCGCTGCCATCATATGTCATTAAAGGACTTGGAGCTTCTGTTATAAAAAAGTGTTTTTCTCAACAACCATCATTGGACAGAAGAGGACACGTGAAAGTATCACTAACTGTATTCATATCAATTTGAAATTTCAAAACAATGGTTCAAAAGATTATTTTAGAAATGTGTTTGTTGTAGATCATCTTGACTTAAATTGGCTTTCAATGGTGTTTGGCAGCCTTTGGATTAGTGAACTTACCATAATTTTTCTTTTGACATAATTTCCAGTTTTATATATTAACTTGGTTGACTTTCAGTTGATTTTATGATCAAGATTTTCAAGTATAGAAAAACAGCATTAACTGGTTGACCATTTCCAACATCGTTTTTTTTTATGTTTTTTAGCCTTGTTAAGCTCAACCAATCAAATACCAACATATCCATCCACTAGTTTCTCATATTATCTAGATCATGGGTTCACTCTGTAGTGTTGATTATGCCAGTTTAACCTGTTGAAATGTTACAACCATAAATATTATACTCTGTATATCCAACAATAAACAAGTTTTAAATGAGCACCAAACCTTCATCATTTTCTTAAATGTTTGCTTGAATGTATTACTTATTAACCATCAGTCATAATATTTTATAGCTAGAAAAAATAAGTAAATATCTGATTCATAAATATTTTCATTGCACAGGATAATGAACTGAAGTACATTTTGGATCATTTTTTTAACATAAATGTACACATATACAATAAATTTAATAAAAAAACAGATGCTTTTAACAAAAACACTTGGCCAAAAAATGGTCAAGGGAGTAAGCTATGAGAAATTACATGCATGTACTGTATGGTTAATTAAAATCCATTTTAAAACACTAATCTATCTAACATTAAGTGAATTATTAGAATGTTAGAGGTTTAGGAGTTCACATTTCTCTGCCAGATTTCTTATGCAGTTGGATTGAAGATATCATTAAACATGCATAAAATAATCAGGTGTTGTCAGAATGAAAATATAACTAGTTATATACATGTTACATTGTGTCAACAAAGTGATGCCCATTTTGCTCATAAGTGTCAGCATGAATATATAATCTGTGTGTCATGTATCTTTCTCCTTTGTAAAAATTAAATTTTAAGTAAACACTCATGAGCAAAATGGGCATCAATCTGTTAACACAATGTAACAAGTAATATATATTACTAGTTATATTTTCATGCTGGCACTTACAAGCAAAATGGGCAACACTGTTGACACAATGTAACAAGTAATGTATATTACTAGTTGTATTTTCATGCTGGCACTTACAAGCAAAATGGGCAACACTGCATTGACACAATGTAACAAGTAACATGCATATTACTAGTTATATATTCATGCTGACACTTAGAAGCAAAAAGGACATAATTGTTCAATTATGCCCTGTTACATGCAACATTCACATCACTCATTACATATTCATACAGATGCCCTAATATGACCACTATAATATTCTTGTCTAGTTATTTGTCAATGTTGATACCCTGTTAGAAGCAGCTGGTGCATTACCACCACTGTAAATACACATGTTGATATTCTAGTAAGCAATATGTCTATGAGTGGTTACTTGCTTACATTTGTATTGTGTTACAAACAATATGTGCATCAATGGTTGAATATTTATTACTACTCTGTAAAAACAATACACAAATCAGTTATGCCCTTTTGGTACCCTGTTACTGTGTCAAGCACATCAATTGTTACAAGCTCATGATGATACCCTGTACATGTATTAAAGCTACTACTTTATAACTAGTTGTTAACTCAACATACATCTTAAGAGTTGTTATAACTGCAAATACTGACCTCTGGTTCATTTAAAATTTTTCATATTTTATTCTACTTTTCCTAAAATAAATGCATTCTGTTGCTTAAAAAGAAGTATATGACACCTGTGCTTGCTGCACCATACATATTTTTTTTATTACTATATGTGAGTTTATATGTGTTCATATTAATTACTGGTTGTTTATAAACTTATCTCTTTTGTGATCAATTTCACATACTATACATGTGGTTTTTATTTCCTAAAAACTCAGAAATATGGCTGGTTGAACTATAACTGAAGTTTACATGAATTAATAGGCAAGGTAACTGTACTTCCTGATTAAATTATATATATATAGTTACAAATAGTTATTACTAAAGAAGTGTTATAGTAACATTCAGCAACATCCTGCCTTAAAAGGATACTTTCAGAATAAAATAACATAGTTACAAATTGTTATTACTAGAGAAGTGTTATAGTAACTTTCAGCAACATCCTGTCTTAAAAGGATACTTTCAGGATAAAATAAGAATTAAACAGAGCCCAAGCAAAGAAAGTAAAGCATTTGCTTTCATAAGCCCCAATACCTGAGGATTAGATGAAGATAGCATAGCACCTGTAGAAGGCTTTAGGTCCACAGGTCTAGGGAAAAAGGTTTTTTCTTCCTGAAGAACAAAGCATAAGACTACATGAGAATAAGCAATAGCAAAATAAAAATAGTCTACAGCTCTATAAACTACAAGCACACAATGCATTACTGGTTTCAGTAAGATTGAGTCCAAAAAAAAGAAGAGCCAAATTTATTTCCTACACTTCAAATTTCACAAAGTAAGTTTCACATACAAGCAACTATACTTCAGGCTTATACATACACTACAATAAATGTATGTGCTGATGTTACAGTTAAGTTCTTTTATGTTTTCACACCATATTTCCATCTCAAAAAAATCTAACCATTCAGCCACAATAAAAAAAAATTACATTTTCTTCTTCTTGATTTTGTCCTAAAGATAAATTGCTCTCAGATGTGAATAAGTTCAAAACACGATTTTACATTTACCCCTTTAGTGACTTTTATGTACTTTCACGGGAGAAAGATATCCTACTGTAACATGTAAAAACAAGTATTCAGTTATATTCACACAGAATTTGAAAGACTAAACGTGAAGATTAATAAAAATGTTTATTAAACCTACCATAGAAAAAACAACAACAACTAAGTAACTGAAAGTTAGTCCACATTTACCTAAGGAAGAACAGAGGGGAGGAAAAACATACTTAATTTAAAAATTGAGAGAACCTTTAAATAATACAGAAAGTGCCAATATTTCAAAATAACAGTTATAATATTTTTACTGAAATTACAGTGATACTTATAAAAACATGAAAGTTTATTTTCATAAAATTTCTGATGTTTCTTCAATTGATTTTTGTGTTTGTTTTTACAAAAAGCTATACATCAACTATCTGCATTCTGTTTCCCATGAGGAAGTGATGTTTTAAGTCCATAAACTCACTGCTGACCCACTGGGGAACTCTTCACTTCAACAGACAGATAAAACACACAGAATTGTAGTTCGAAAACCTTAAAGTTGTTGATTAACTCCACATTATTCTAAATTAATAAGAGTTTGTTAAACATCAACCTCCAATAAGTGGTCAGTATACCTAAAAAGTACATTTCTGCTACTCTTTTATAAGATTTGGCAAAATAAAACTTGAAACATTATTTAAAAAAAGATAGAAAAGCCAAGAAATTAAATCAATTTTGGAGATTTGGTTATATCTTACTGAAAAATGATATAACAACACAGTTGAATAAAACTATCCAATTTTATGATCAAACTAATAATTTCAAAACAGCAGCACACAAAATCATTTTTTGGCAAAAAAGAATAGTGATACATGTATTTTATAATAATAGAGAATTACACTCTTTGTTAAATTAACATTCAATTTATATCATAACATAATGCTGTGTTACAGTAGAGGGTGAGACTAAACACGAAATTTATAACAAGTCCAAAATTCCTGCAAAAAATGCAAATATTTATTTTATCACATCTTCCAGTTAACTTTTTCACATCCACATGAGTGCAGTCTGCTTTGAGGACAAGACTGCACTGTTAAGTTTATAAACTTTTAGATCATAAAATTACAATTGTTTTTATTTTAAAACTTAAGAGTTGAAATGTATTCAATAAAAAAAATTTAATATTTCATATATAAAAATAATATAAATTTTGATTTTGGGTTATTTAAACATGCTCCATAGAAAATTGTTAGTCTTTTGAATTGTCTAGATTCTTCATATAATATGGCACTCATATAGCCCTTAGATGGATTTAAACAAAATGGTGCTAATTTTCCCTGTAACTTGAATAATAGTCAATTTTATTGATTTTTAGCCTATCACTTTTGCTTAATCTCTAAACACATTATGACAGCCTTTTCCATTTTTTAATACTGTGAAAGTCAGTAAGACTTCAAGTTCAGCAAAGATTCACATAAAAGTTGAAATAAAGTGAGAAAAGATTAGCTTGACAACTGGTTTCTAGAGAAAATAAAATTGTGAACAACTTTCACTACAATTGCAGTTCTGACTTTTTGCACTCAATCACATCAAGTTTCATTTCTTTCACAAAGCCATTGTTAAGCCTTACTTAAATTAGACCTTTTCAGCCTAATTAACTGCATGAATGGACTAAGAGAATTCCCAAAAAGAAATTTAAAACAAGATAAGTAATTAAATATAAAACAGGTTTAAAACTTATTATATATATTAAATGTTTGTTTGTTGTTAAGTATAAAGCTACACATTGGGCTATCTGTGCTCTGCCCACCATGGGTATTGAAATCAGATTTTAAGAAAACAAGCTTGGCAACTTACCACTGAGTTATTGGGGGTATATATCACATGAAACATTCTAACAAAAAAAATGTAAAACTTAGCTTGCTTATGATTTGGGTTTGGTAAAAAGTTATTTTTATTGAATGTCAAGTGATTGTAAACACAGCATTGTTTTTTGAATCACAATAAAAATAACATTTACAGTTTATAAAATAAAAATTTTATAGAAAAGTATTATAGAATGTAGAAAGACATAAGAATCAGTATATAAAATCTACAACAAAGGTAAGCATTTTAAATCATTTCTTAAAGAAGTGTATCGCAATGAAATATTTTCAAAATTTCATAGCTGTAAATTCATACAGATATCTATCTTCTATCTATATACTACTAAAACTCTGAGATTGTTTGCTTGTCTGTAATTAAAAAGGCACACAACATGAGAATAGAAATATGAGAATAGAAAGAGAATAAAACAAGTTTCGCTAAAATCAGGCCACAGGTTACCAAGTTTGCGCCATTTTTTGGGTCACTTTTCTGAAAATTTCTAGCATGAGTAATTTTACATCACACTACCATTCGAGCTCTTTACGAAACTTCTTCATTTAAATCTATTTCCCTATTTCATCAAAAGATGGCAATGTAAGCACAACAACTTTAAGATGTTTATTACAAAACTACATACAAGCTAATGTAACGTACAGTGTGTGTGATATGTAAACCATAGTTACATTAAAATACTTTTGCCAACTGCGTTGATCATTGAAAATGAATTTGACACTGTAATGTAATTTTCATAAGCTGTTTTGCTTTATGAAGCAATAATTAGAAACAAACATGCCATTGAATGTAGCATTTAGGTGTTGTGCTGACTTAAGAAAGTATCCCATACATCTATCTATCTATATACTACTAAAACTCTGAGATTGTTTGTTTGTCTGTAATTAAATACACCAAATACGGCACATAATATGAGAATAGAAATATGAGAAATGAGAATAGAAACAGAATAAACAAGTTTTGTTAAAATAGGGCCATGGGTTACCGAGTTAGCGCCATTTTTCGGGTCACTTTTACAAAAATTTCTAGCAAGAGTAATTTTACATCACACTACCATTCCTGCTCTTTACAAAACTTCTTCATTCAAATCTATTTCCTTGTCAATGTTCCTATCTTCATTAAAAGGTGTAAGATGACAAAAACAAGATCTTGAAGAATTTCTCAATAATGTGCTTTGGTTATGGTAGGTAAGGAAATGAGAAAAAATTTTCAGTCAAAAAATCATTCGCTGTGAGATAGTGAGAAAGATTTTTCATTTGGTGAATTTCATAATGTATCAGTTATCAAGTTTTGCTGTTTCTTGCAATAATTTGAGCAAGTAAGTATGAAATGTTTTTCTGAAATAGCTTTTTTTGGTTTTTTTATAGCAATTACGTTCTAATAAACCAACCATGAATAACATCACTATTATCTGTTATTTCTTATTTTCAGGCGTTTTGAATCAACTGTGAATAAGGTTTGTTCATCACAATACCTGAAAACTCGACTTCACTTTTTTGAAAAATTAAATGGTCTTTCCTTTTACTCCCGATCAACAATCAAATATATTTTCTTGAATTATGAATAACACGAATGGATTGAAATATTTAATTAAATTATCTCAAAATAAACCTTCATTTTGGTGCAATATTGAAATTAGCTTGAATTCTTCATAACCTCTAAATAGTGGGTGACCCAATGGGTCACGGGTGGTCTAGTCACATCTGAAAATAAGATAATTTATCTTCAGCAGCTACATAATCAGTAGAAACTAATTCTTAAAGTTCAAAACTATTTCACCCAGTAGTTTGTTTTCATAATGCTATAAAACAAACCATACAACAGATATGTCAAAACAACACATGGGGTCTCACACGTGCAGGGCAAATTTAAGTAAGCTAACTCGGACTGAAAAAATACTTAGAATTAGTATAGTAAGAAATCTCAATTCATCTTAATACGGTTACTGATACCTCTTCTTGACTTGTGGAGTCCTCTCCATTTAGCACTTCTTTTATTCTTTCTCCAAGTGTTGCATCAGTTGTAGGAATAGGAGTAGCAGGAGGAGATATACCAGGACTTCCTAGCTTACCCTCATATTGACCAAAAGATAACCCCTAAAATTTTAAAATACAATACTTTATGAAAAAGATTCATATTCAACACATCAAATTTTTTTCCCAAACTTTTGCAAGTCTTATTTACACCTTAATAATTGTGATTTTCATTCTTAACACAACTTACTTGAATATCATAAAATGAAATTGTTTTCTAGATAGTATAACTACATCTTAAAAAAATATATATATACAATTATAAAGTAAGAAGTGTATAAAAATTTATATTTGTATAAAACCTTATTTAGTTCTAATGTTTCAGATTAAATAGTAAAACATTCATGGAGCTTGTTAAAGAACCACAAGATCCATGAATTATCTTTCCCAATGATTTCCTTTCTTACAATGTTCTTTATAGCTCTCCCTGATGTACTTTTTGAAATAAAAGTTGGATAAATATTTATGGACATTTTTGCCAAGCATTTTCTTCTCTTTTTTGTTATAGACTCTATAGCACCATAAAAAAAAGTAACTTGACTGACTGATTTAGCCTGTGGGTAAAACTGTAGTATTTCAACCTAAAACATAGACCAGTACATAAGCTACAATATTGCAATAACAAGATATAGTTAAACACTGTGTGAATAAAATCAGCTCACTTGTAAATGAAGAGAAAAACATAGTTCCAACAACCATGGGAGACAAGGCATAACTGTCGCTTCACTTAACTGAGCAGTGAACCACAATAATAGTGGATGGAGGGAGAACTAATAATTCGCTCCCAGACCTTTCAGCCATCAAAGAAGATGCAGGCTCAAGTGCAACTGAGGAAAGACCCAAAACATCACAAGCTTGATGGACCAACTGAAGAAAAGGAGCCTGAGGCAGCTTATCCCAAAGTGGCCTCCTGAGAAGCCAACAGAATATAGAAAGGTGCAGGAAAAAGTGAATCTAATTTCTCTCCAGAATATCCAGGATCGCCTTCAATTGCAGCCTTGGAGGCCTCTGGAACCGAATATGTCTCCATCTCACTACGAATAAGATCCCTGATAGTCTCAACTGAGAGTGACTCCCTCCCCCCTCCCAATTGTTGAGCGACACCAGATATCAGAGATGCAACAGGAGACCCGATTTGCCTCTGTCGGAAATAATAATCCATGAATTCCTTCTGAAAATACACTACGTAACACAAAGAATGCTCAAAGTATTTCTGAATGATCAGAGCACTGGGAAACCTGTTAGTGGTGTTTTGTCAAGAAAAAGTGATAACATTATCTGAATGAGGTGCTCATATACAATAGCAGGATAGAGAGCACATTGACATAGGTGGAGAGTGTCACAAGACAAATATCCCCAAGGACAATTAAGTGGGATTTAAAAGACTGGAGCAAGCGAGAGAAAATCAGACCAATGCTTAGATGGGCAAAGGAAGAAACCCTGGCAGTCGAGTAATAGCTGTAGTGTGAGAAGAGGTAGGTATGTTTTGGAATGTGTCTAGCTAATAATCTCGCCACATAAATTGTAAATCACTCAACAAATGTGTGGCTTTAGTTACCATATCGAATTATATAATGCATGAGCTACTTACAAGCATACTTAGTGAATAATTATTATTATTATTATTATTTTTCATTACCTTACCTAGTAAGTTTCTAATTTTTACATTTTAGTTAATGTTTTAATAATAAATAAAGAATACAGGATAAACAAGAAATAGAGTACTTACCTAGGTCCTTGTGTTTTTTTTTGCTGTCATTTATCAATGAACTTAAGTCTACTTTTATACTTTATACACAGAATAATAACACTCACAAAAAATAATGTCTTATAACTATCATAATTTATTTGGCTTTCTAACTATATGATTATAGCCTTTAAAAATTCAGCTAAACTTGTTGATGTGAATACCATGAGACAAAGTTTCGAACTAAAGGTGAAACAGACAATTCTCTGAACAGAAATCAATGCACTATAATATGTCATTTGATAGGTTAAAAGTTTGGCTTTCTATTTGTTATAAGTAATATGATATAAAACACCAGACAGAACTATTGATAATTTGTGAAAGAGAGGATGTGAGAGGTGGGTGTGGCAAGAGGGGTCTGATTTTTTAGTTTATGGCTCCGTAACAAAATAAGGTTGAAAGCTATAAAAATTATGCTTTGCCTTAGTAATAATATCTATATTATAATGAGAATCTACATTAAATTCCCTACTTTTCAAAGGAGTTGTAAATAAAGTACAGAAGAAAGAATATCTAGAGAACAAGTGTCATAATTCTCATACTAGGGTAGATTGAAAATTTGTTCAAATATTTCCTTACAAAATTTAGAATTTAAATCTTATATAATACTAAAATTTGGTTTATTAGCTACATGTTGATGCCAAATCTATTTGTATGCAATGATAATAAATTAGTTCAATTAAATTTTGAACGTAACTTAAAAAGTCATGACATTCGCACTTTGACCTACTTGTAGCAAGATGCTTAAACAGCTTTAAAATTTAACTTTGTTACAGGAACATACAGAAGTTGCATAGGATGTGACTCCCTTAAGAAACCTAATTAAGCAATTTTCAAATGTGAGAACAAGTTAAATGAATCATTATTTAATGATCATGTACTGTCTAATGATAACTGCTTTAGATTCTTAAAACAAAAATTTTCTTTTCTAGGAATTACTGTATCTGCACAAAATCAGGAGAGAAAAAAACAGCATACTTTCATAGATATCTGAAGCCTTTTGTTACTTGGAGGCTCTGCAAAGCCTTCTGGAGCACTTGGTTTCCTAATTTGCTGTGTGTCAAAGTCATTCTGTCCATCCATACTTGAATGCTGTTAACAAAGGTAATAGTCTTACAAGAAACATAGACAGAAATACAAATAAAATCAAACAAAAATGGAAGAAACACCTTTTCCTAATCAGCTATACACAAAGATTATACATACATATGCCCACATATAACAGTTACAAGAAAAATACATTAAAAGTCTATTAGATTATTTCTTTGACAACCATTGCATAGTGTAATGTGTAAACATCAACAAATGAAATTTTACTTTCACCCATACTAGTCCAGAAATCCAAGTTTTAAAACAAGTCTTATTAACTTAAAAAGTTCAAACACTTTGTCCAAACATGAATGTCAAGAAATAAAAAATAGAAACATACATTAAATTACTGCTCTTTACATGCCTAAAATAATACAATTATGATCTTAGAGAAAATTAATCACACTGAAAATTAATTACATATGACAAATATGTATATATTAATGCATTGGCATTGCCACATACACAAACCACAGGAATGTATTTAGCACCTACATATTTGATCTGAGCCAAATTTCCAACAGTGGCACTACAGGTATTTTTATCAATGGAGGTTTATGATAGATATTCCAGGATTTTCAAACAATGAAGAATTAAAATATACAATTTTTCAAAAAAGAAAGCATTCAACATTCTACATGAAATGGAAAAAAGTTGCACAAAAGAGCTTTTAAAACACAATGGGCACTGAAAATACATGGCAAACCAATTCACAATAATGATCTCATCTGTAAAGCCAAAGCTGGTGTATTTTTGAGATAAACAAGTAGTTGAAGTTCATGGCTTTCTATCCAAACCTTAAAGTCACTGGCTGTTTTCATAAGAAGGATAGCTAAAGAAACTGGAATCACAGCAATCCCGCTTGACTAGGTAATTATCAAGTCCTCTAATGCAGTTACAATAAACTGTAAGGCCTTTGACCTGCTTAAATATGATATTGAAAGCCAACATTAACATATGGTGAAAAGCTTGTCAAAATATTTAGTCTAAGACTGATACTGCCATGTTGCTAAGCTTACTGGGAAAAAAATATATTTCACAATAGAAATGTCATGATAAATGTTTGTTGCAATTTTGATTATGATTCTTAAAAACAGAACAAAGTTTAGTAAATATTTTTACATCTCTACTTACTGGATGTTTTGGTTTAGGGCTGGATGATTTCATAAGTCTTCTTAAGTTTGGACTAAGGCTTCCAGTATGCTGGGAAGAAAACATAGGTACAGTTAAGTTGGCTGGTGTGGTAGACTGTACTGTGTGCTCTACTTGTAACAGAGGATTTGCTGGTGATAGCTCTAAAGTGCATTTATCTGGATACTAAAAGATAAAGAAATAAAAAAAGGTGAAAGACTAATATTCTGACAGAAGACATGGTTCAAATGAAGAACTAAAAAATTACTAATGGTTATAACAAAGAGAAATAATAAATAGTTAATGTAAAACTAAATGCAATATAAATATTTCTTAACTAAAATTCAAAAGAACTAGGATTTTCAGAGTTATACGAACTAACAGAAAACTATCGTCATAACATTACAAATTCTGATTAGAGACCATAACTTTCAATACATTTCATATTGAGTTCTTCTGCTATGAAATACACACTGTGTTACCGAGATGAATACTTGTGTCCAAATTGACTTTTTAAACTACTCTTGTTTGTGCCAACATGAGAAGACATATTTGATAAGTAAGTGAGAACAGAATTGTTTGTGTGTGTAAATCTCTTGCTTTCACTTGGTCTCAATCAACATTTCTGTTGGTTTTATTTGCTGTCTTTCCAGTTCTTATCAGTTTACTGTATTAGAGGTGTGAAAATATCTGTCAATCTAAAAGTAAAGAACTTTTCATACCTATTAAACTAAGTGATATTAATGAAATGAATGGAAGTAGTGTACATAAATTACACATAAAAGAGCACACAATGTAAAAGCACATGCCTCTTCATTCATTCTTCTGCTATATATTAAAGTCGTGCTAAAGATAAATGCTAATCAAATAATGCAAAAAATTTTCTTTCCCAGGCAAAGTTTGAATATACTGTACTGTGAATGTTATTATAGTTGTAACAAACATAACCGATTTTTAGAAACATTCGAGCAATGTGTAAACATATCAAAACTATTTGTGGTGATTTTGCTTACAAATTTGAAATTGATTTGATTACCTAACATTTAAAAAAGTATTTAACATTACATAGTAATTGTGTGTGAAAAATTATATTTGGACTACATGTAATCAAAAACATAAGAAAGAATTTAATAAAAACATAAAAGCAGAACTGCACTATGTAATCAATCAGATTTTAAAATAACAACTTATACCTTACGATTTACAAACTGAAACATTAAGAAGTCATGAATTAGTTTTATTAAAATTTACTTATGCTTAGCAAAATAATATTTTTCAAAAAATAAATACTAGAATACAACAATGCTTCACTGCCACCAATCATAAGCAATTATAACACAAAGATACTTTATTGACCAAGATGCATGCGTAACTAAAAATATATAACCCTAAATAGGCTTGTCTATGAAATGTAAAGAATTGAATTTTGAGGAATGTCCTAAATCCAAGTTATATCCTTCAAGTTTTGCTGTTTCTCTTATCATGACCACTTTCCTATGTTAACTGTTAATAGCAAGTACCTGTTCAGAAGTAGTAATATTTTGGCTTATTTCTATGTTTTCTAGAGAACCTTATAAAATTTAAAATATTAGAACCACATGAACCCCTTTGGTTTGTCACCATTTGTTACTGTTTTTGAATAACAAATGTATAACGGAATGAAATATATTTTTATTCTTAATTTTATCAGTCATTCATAACTTAAATAGTATTTTATATTTGCTTCTAAGTTTTTACATCAAAAATGAAAAGTGTAAGAAACTGTGCAAAATCCATAAAGTTGAATATTTTTCTTGCTGATAAAATAATCTTGAGATAGCAGCTAGTTAAACGAAGCATCTCAGTCCCAATTACATTGAATTTCAATTTTCAGTTGGCAATATAAAAAGAAAATGCATAAATTGCTTGGAAAAAAAGAAACATAAAAAATTTACAGGTAAAGAGAAAGAATATGCTGATATTAACCAAACATTTGAGAAACAAAACACTAGTGCTACTATTAGTTTATGAACTCAATATTTCTTTATTTTTGGAGAAATCACATGCAATTTTTGAGCTTACAATACATTTCTCAGGTTTATAGACTGCAAAAAAATAAATTCTGCATTTTCTGTTATTTGATCTTATGACTGATTTGTGAGCTTCAGTTTTGGAAGTTTTTCCTTAAAAGAGATAGGATTTTAATAATTTATTTTAGCACTAATTACACATCTCTTGGAAGAATGAAAAAATCTCACAGATTGTGTTTATTATTCACTGAAGAATCAGATCCCATACTTTTTGATGTGAAACATATATATATCCCATTAACAAGAGTTTAGATGTACGTTCAAGTATCAATACAATTTCTAAAGTTGAAGTAAGTCTCAACTTTATCAAATGTCTATTACAGACCAAAATATTACTTACTATTTCAGTGTTATTTCCGCCTATAATGTTAATAAGCTGTTCTTCAATAGCTTTGACTCGCTTTATTGCTCCAATAATTTCTTGCCTATTTTTCTCAGATGGGTTTTTAGCATTTTCTTTTTTTTTTCCTATGATAAAGATAGAGACATTCCAGTTGAGCAAAAATACAAATGATTAAATATGAATACATTAAATATATTTCCACAACTGAAGTTATTTTAAAAAGATTTAACTATGCTGGTGTAACAACATTATGTTACAAAGCAATATTAGTAATCTCAGTCTGTACTCAGTTTAGCAAAAGCCAATACCAAACAGTTATAACTGACTCTCTTCTTTAAGACAAAGCAAAAAATTATTCAAATACAAGAGGACAAACAAAAAGGCTAGTAAATTTTAATAGACACATTAATAAACAGAATTAATTAGAATTAATTAATTAATTACCAATTGATATTTCATGTACTTAAAGGAGAAAACCAGGATATGGGATTTTTTGAATTACAATTATTTAATATACTACCTAATTATTTTGAAGATACTTTTGTAGCTCACTTAAAAACTTTTGGGGAAATATTTTTAGATGATTATTTTGTAAAAGGAAAGATACTGAAGATATTAATAAATTTGATGGAATTTTAAATTGAATAAACAAAAAAATTAAGTTTACTTTAGGATGAAATCATAAAGGATTGTCCTTTTTAGATATGTCGGTGTTTCACCAGAAAAGGAAATTGTAACTGATATTTTTTATAAACCCACAAACTCTCATCAATATGAAATTTTTTTAGCAATTATCCCAAACATATAAAATTAAATGTTCTGCAAATCTTGCAAGTAGATTATATTGTTTGGTTTCCAATGAAGAAATGAGAGTTAATATATTATTAGAACTAAAAAAAAATTTTAGTTCAGTGTCACTATTTGAAAAAAGTTATATTAAGAGGTTTTGAAATTGCAAAGAACTTTTTTCTTCTTTAAACAGAGAGATTAGTAAACCTAAAGATAATATTATACTTTTTGTTGTAACTCATTGTACAAATATACACATTAATATATCATTTGTTAATATACAATTAAAACAAATAGTATATAAAAACCTGAAAGATGTATTAAAAATTAGTAAAATTATTTTATCAAGATGGCAACCTAAAAATTTGCATAGATTATTGAATAAACCTAAATAAAAAGATATTTTTCTAAAGAAGGTATCTTCAGTTGTAACAGAAAGAACTGTACTTTATGTAATTTAGGTTATATGAAATCTAACAAAACAATACAGAGAAATAACAAAAAACGTTTGTTTTCTATTAATAACTCATTTAATTGCAATTGTAAGAACATAATATATATTTTAGAAATTGTAAATTGTGGTTAATTATATATATTGGTGAAACAATTAACTTAAGATTAAGGATAAATTTACATAAATACCAAATAACACCAACTATATGCCAGCAAACATTTTAATGAATGCATTTTGAGAAAACTTTAAATTTTAAAAGAACCATATTTTCATGTTTTCCCCTTTTTGGGAATGTAATGTAAAACATAAAATACTGTTTTTTGAAAAATATTTTATAAATTTTTTTGGCACCACTTTATATAGATAGTAGTAAGAGAGCAGAAGTAATTTGTTGTGCAAAGTCAGCAGGAAATGTGAAGCTGTGAAAACAGTTACTAAGATTTACATAAAAAAAATAAGTAAGAGTATGAAATCATAGGTTAAACAAATTGCATTTCTATCATAATAATAAGAGAAAGTATAGTTAGAATAAGATTATAATTTAAAAGGGAAAATATATTGACTAATTTTAATTATTTTTGAGCATTTGTAATGTACTTAATTTATACATGAGTGTATTATATGCTTGTATATTTGGAAAGTATATGTATTTAAGTTAGATTTTTTATGTTTAGTTGACAAGCAGTATTTGTACGTTTTTGTTATAGATTCTCAGTAAAACTAATTCCTGAAGAGTGACCTTTGAAGTCAAAAAACCGGTAGAAGAAATAAATAAAGGAGGGAAAACGTCCTATATTCCAGTGTTTTCTTATTTGTATCCACAGGTGAATCTTATTTATGTTTTGGTTTTTATATCTATATAAATTAAACATAAAGAAAAATACTTTCACAGATTTTGATTCTTTTACTTAAATTCTAAACAAAGAAGATATTAAAGTTATTTGAATATCTTTAGACACCACTATCCTTTAAAAAACCTTCCACAGAATATCTCAGTTTAAAACAAGAAATTGTTTTTATACTGAAACAGACTGTCTCAAGTGTATTTACTATTAAAATGTTATCCTGTTTGGAACTACACAATCTAATGTCAAGTTCAAACTGCGAGACAAAGATTAAACTAACTATACACATTGTTAACATTATAAAATACATACTTCAAGAATACCTTTTATCTAGAAGCAATTATATGTAAGTTAGTTTAATATTCAAGTTTAACTGAAAAAATTAAAGTACGAAATATGTAAATGTTGTATAACTAAATGTACATGCAGTAGTATAGCTTTTTTTTCTTAATCAAAATGTGCAATCGATGTCTGATGTGTTACAGAATGGTTAAAAAATATTATCATTTCAAGTTATCACACTTTTATTTGTAACACTATAAAAAAGATTAGGTACAAAAGAAGATGTAATGATTATAAAAGCAAATAAAGAAAATAATGTCATTATTTTAAATAAACAGATTTTATTAATTAATTTAAAGCAATCTTAAATGATAGAACTAAGTTTGTGAAATTATAAAAAGTCCAACCTAAAACTAGAGAAAGTAAATTACAAATATATCCATTAAAAGTAAAAAACGAAAATTCACTGCCTGAAAATGAATATCATGAAATAAAACCAACTGCTTGTAATCTTGGTATCATCTATGGAGTTTCTAAATCCTAAAGTTCATAACGATGATTGTCTAAGTATTGGAAAATATATTCATGAATTTGTGGGATTTTTGGTTAAGTTGTCAGAGCCATTAACTAGAAATGGGTATACTAACAAGGTCAGTTTAGTGTGCTAGTTTTGAGCCCCATTATACTAACAAACCATAAGAAGAGATGATAAATTTATGTACTGAACTTTTGTATCAAACTGACAATGATTAAATGAGATTTCCTAAGCATGTATTTCAGAAATTCATAAGTGTTGAAAAAAGAATCTTTTTATTTCACAATAATATTTATGGGGTTTTTAAAAGTCCTTTTTAACTCACTATACAGTAACCTAAATCAATTTAGATATGTAAATTATATCAACGCTCTCCAGACGAGTCTCAGGTCAAAGGCCATGTCATCGCATTTGTTGTCTCGCATTCAAAATTTTTATTGAACTACTATTTCATGAATTTATGACAATAAGTTTGGTATCAAACTGTAGATTATAATTCAAATTTTTGTATTATAGATAATTTAATTTCTTAATTTTAAGGTAAATATTAAAAAACAAAGTTAAACATCGATTTTTGTGTGTCACATGGTATGTTGAATGCAGCAGTGGTTCAAATTAGATGCTTGTGATATAAGAAATTAAATTATCTATAATACAAAAATTTGAATTATAATCTACAGTTTGGTACCAAACTTATTGACATAAATTTATGAAATAGTAGTTCAATAAAATTTTAAATGCGAGTCAACAAACAAGGTGACATGGCCTTTTACCTGTGACTCGTCTCAAAAGGGTTAAAAATAAATGCAAGATGTATAAACAAATAAAAAAGACCTGCCAAAATATGAATAATTTGAAAAGAAAACTTTTGTGAAAGACACAAATGCATTCTGATGTATAGCTATGGTACCATTTAAAATACACTGAATTCATAAAGATTAACAGTGTTGTTACTGAAATATTCTAATTATGCTAAAATAAGATATATTTTGTCAAAAGATTCTAGATGCTTTAAAATAGCTTACTGCCTATTAGTATGTTTTAATGAAGTGGTTACCAACCTTTTTTCTAACTGAGGACCAGCTAGTTCAGATTCCAAAATTTCACAGACCACTTTATACAGTATTAACTTTTTAAAGTACGTTTAAATTACATTGTAAAACAATATACGTCAATAGCTATATCTCAAAACACACATTTTTGTTTTTCAACCATCCTGTAGATTGGTTGAAATCTACATGTGGGCCAGCAGTTGGGAACCACTATTCTAAGATACATGCTGAAAAAAACTTTGTGCATTATTGTGTCTTTATGCAATTCTGTGTAAAATCTCAAATGTTCCTCATTACTATTTCTACAATTATGTGTCTTATTCTAATAATTTTATTGATGTGTATTTTTGAATCCCAAATAAAGCAGGATTTGGCTCATATCTATTGTAGCATCTCAACTTAATCTGATAAGAAGTAAATGTCTGTCATGTTAAATTACATATTGTGAGACTAAGGTAGTACTTATGCTTAATCCAATAAAATATCAAATAACCAAGATTACAGTTTCAATTGTACAACTGAATAATACAATACATAAACAAGGAACTTGGTATAGCCTGGTGGTTAGGGTGCTCAACTTGTAATCTAAGGGTTGCGAGTTTGAGTCCTCATCACCAAACATGCTTGTGCTATATGGTTGCTGATTGGGCCAGCCACCCAGGTGTAAAATTTCTTGGCTTACAAAAATGCTGGCCAACCCCAAACTAGTTGGGATTAACCCTATCACCATGGGTATCCTTTACTGAGCATGTCACAAGGTTTTAGTATCTTACATTCAAAATTTTATTAAACTACTTTTTGTTTATGTTATACCAATTAGAATAGCATAAAATCTTAGCTAATAATCCATATTTTAATTGTATATAAGTTTTAAGTTCTTAACTGTACAAGGCAATATTTAAAAAATCCTGAATTTCCCATAGTGTGACCCATGTCACACATTTTCTCTTACCATGTCATCCTCCTTATTTTATCCACCACCCCTCAAAAAAGTATGAAATTAAACATTAATTACTCTCTATAAAATCACCATTGCTAAGATAAACCATAATCTTTAGTCTTCAATTTTGTTTGGTTACAAAGCTATTGAATAGAAAATCAGACTTCTCCTGCTAAACCTACCTGTCACATCCTCTCTTTCAGAATTTGTTAATAGTTCTCTCTTACATTTAACTGTATATTACTTAAAACCAATAGAAATTCAAGGTTTTCATCTATCAAATGATGTATTGTATAACATTATGTTCTGAACAGTTAAGTGTCAGTTTTACTCACAGTACTAACAGAAAGTTAATGACTAGCTTGGATGAATTTGTAACGACTCTTGTCACATTGTTAAAAAGCCCGAAACATTTTGAGAAGTAAGGGAATTGGTCTCCTTTTTGCATGTTATTAGTCCATGGTGCATTATTTAATTAAATACAAATTATTAAGTGTATTACTCTCATTAGTATAACAAATTAGGGTTAACTGTCTTTGACAATCAACTGTAAGAAAAAAGAATATTGGCTAAGTATATTATTTCTTGTTTTTCATGTCTATTCTTTATGTCTAATTATAAAAGTAACTAAAATAAGGATCCTTTTAGGTTAGTCAAGATTAGATTAAGAAAAATTATAATAATAGTATTATAATAAAAATGTTTCATGAAACACACAAGTGAACAGCTTGTAGTAGCTTGTGGGTAATGTAATTCATTAGCATAATGTGTGCTGCACGTTCTGAGTAATTTACAACTTATAATGGTGTGAATAGTAGTTAGACACTGTTCAAATGGCAATGATATAATAAAATTAAATTATAAATAGATGTATACTGTTACAAACTTTGAGTTACTTATGGATAAACAAATGTAGTTTCATGTTACAATTTGAGGTCATTCTAGAAAGAAAAAAAAAAGAGTAATTTAGATTTATTTCAATTGTTTTTTTATGGTTACGAGGTTGGTCGAACTGACCGATTCCGTTTTGAGACAAGGTAGAGAAAATAACAGATAAACTATAAAGTTTTACAGAAGAAAAATGTTTGAACTTCATTTAGGAGGTTTTAAGGATTACACAAAGGAAATTTGAGATTTTTGAGAAGAGAAAAAGTATTTTTAATTTTTACATGAAAATTACTTTGCACACAGACTATTCAAAACAAATATCAATATATTCTTGGACAAATCTGTATTTTAATTTATTAAAAATACTTCACTAGAAAATGATTTTTTGTATGTGAAAGACTTAAAATATTAATTGAAAGACTGCCAAATTTTGTGAAGATATACTTACACTATATTGAAAGTTAGAAGTACTAAATTTATAAGGACTTTAAATGAGTAGAAAGAGGTCACACGGTCGATCAAATTGACCGAGCTCATGACGAGAGAGCTACAGCTGTAATGAAAAAAAAAAAAACTGACAGGCAGGCAGGGTAAAAGCTTTTAGATTTTATTTTAACTTTATAAATACTGAAAAATTACCTTAGATAAACTATTTACACAGTTTTCCCACAAAGTGAATTCAGCAGTCTTGAGGAATCTAGTTAACAAAATTTTCATTAAAATTGTTCTACACAGATACATTTGTATATTTACTTACCTCAAGAAACCTTTGCTCATTGTCCAGCATCTTTCTCATAGTGTCTAACCTGTCTTTGTTCAACTGATTCTGTTTTTCGGGCTGTATGGAGAAAACAATATTGTTATAGAATTTGGGTTAAAAATAAATGCAATCATTTGGAGCAAAATAAAGTCCACAGAATTAATAATATTTAAAAACACTTAGATTGTAATACCACTGCTACAGCATTTATTAAAAATTGCATACCAAAATTGATTATTTTAGAGAGAATGCACATAATCTGCAAATGTTAACATTTCCTTACCTCAAAATGTATTTCAAAATGTATTTCTGATAGGATATTACCTCTCTATGCACACAATAGTTATTCCTTGCATATCTGTCTTGGATATTTTAACACATGCCACTAGTCTTGAGCTATCTCCCATCTAAGATACGTGTTAAAATGTGAACTTTGCTAGTGCATGATGTAATCATCATGCAGCAATAGCTCTCCACCATTAGGAGGGTGACACATCCTCCATGTGCAGTAGATCCTCATAAGCACTTTCACTCAAAACTAACTTCATTCTTAGACAAGGCATGAGTAACTTGTGCCAGTAGTGGAGAGGAAAGATGGGAAGATATGCAGAGAGTTAAGTATTTATTAGAAATACATTTTCAGGTAAGGAAAATGTTAACTTCCTAAATGATATGCTTACCTCTCTGCACACAGTAGCTAGAATCCCATATTGATATGGAGGAGTGGCCAGTGCAATTGTGAAAACCTAGATGAGCTCTCTTGGGAAGGTGACTGAAGGAGAAAGTACATTGAGTGTGACATCCTATAGTGAGGGCTTATTAGAAGGATAACACACATGGAAGACCACATCCATCTCCTGCATGGTATACTCTTCACCAAGATGGAGGTATGAAAGGAGGAGGAAAGTGAAATGAACCAATGTGTCACAGAGATGGGTGAAAAAAAAGACATGAACAACTGAGCATTTACACCCAGCCAGTTCGTCGGACATGAGGTGTAGTGTGACTAGGACAATGATCAGATTATATGGTTTGGTATACATTCTATTGTACAATTTATTCGCATTATACACAGGAATGGGGGCTAAGTTCCTTCCTGTCAGGTGAGGAGAACACTTTGTCCCATCCATCTGCCCAAACCACCAAGCAACCGACATATCATATAATAGGGGGGAGCACTACATTAACATGAATATCCCTGCTCTACTTCCCACTGCATTGTGCTGCCCACTCAAACTCTCTCCGGAGGGAGTGTATAATCAGTGAGGAACTCTCCAAGTCAATTACTCCTGCAGATAGGAATTTGAAGTGACAAGATGCTCCTGTGTTCCACTTGAAAACCAGGCAAGAAAGAATTCACACTGCAGAGACACTGGAAAGGTGCCTGTACCCAATCGGATCTAACCACTTCAAAAGTCTTTCACTAGAGAAAAAAGTATTTACCACTAAACTTAATTTGAAAAGCCTGCATGTGCAAGCCAGGGAAGTGAACACACACACTCCCCTGTTGCTGGCTTCTTCCATAATAGTCCATGGAAGGTACGATCTAGAATGGACAATGATATTTATATACCACTGCAGTAGTCTTGCAAAAAACCCATCTCAACAATAAGAACTTCAGGAGCTAGGGTGGATAGGTTTAATGCTTTCTGTTACTTTTGATTTCAAACAAACTAAAAAGAAACCAAAAAAGTTAACACTGTGAAAAGACAGCACCAATCTCAAGAAAAAAAAAACACATCCATTAAAGACAGAGCCATGGATAAGAATGAAGTAAATTTCAAGTGCAAGGGTTTATGGGGATCTACTACAATACATGGGAGATGTGTTGCCCTCTTATTTGTGGAAGGCTGTTATTGCATCATGATCACATCATGTACTAGCACAGTTATAACACAAGTCTTAGGTGGGAGATAGCTCAAAGCTAGTGGCATGCATAAAATTTCAAACACAGACATACGAGGAACAGCTACTGTGTGAAGAGAGGTAATCAAATAGTTTTGGAATAAATATTTCCTTCTTTATTTTAGTGAACTTGAAAATCATTATAAAGCATCCTTTAAAATATTTGTACAATTCAAACAGTATACTAATGTTTTAACAACTTCCTTGACTTTTTCAGTAAATATTACTGCTAAAAAAACTGAAGCCATAGATTTGAACCTTTCTAAAAGTAAAATATTCTAAAATTAAATGAATTAGGCAAAAAAATTCCTCCTCCTTATTGCAATTACTCAAAAAAAAAAATCCAAGAATAAAACAGTGAGATAACTGAATAACCAGTCTGATAGTTAAAAGTTTAACAAAGACTTTTAATTTTCTAGTAAAACAACTGCTCACTTTTTCAAATTTTATACGAATTTATGACTAAGAATGAAATGGAAGAAATTCAGGAGTATTAATTAATACAGGAATTTTTTAAAATATTTATTTTTTGAAAAGGAGAGGTAAGTCAACAGTAACATCAGTTATGTGGTTCAAGTAGACCTACCTTTTAAAAACAGATTCAGGTTAGTTCAGCAGAAACAATGTACTTTAATGGCAAAAAGCTACATTTAAAAACATCTACAACATTTTCATACAATATAACAATGAAACTGGAATTATATATATAGCAGAAGTGTTAGATATAATACAAAAGTTATTATTTTCCTAAACTGAAAATAATTTTCTGATAGTTACTTAACCTCTTCTCACATGTATAGCTATTCTCATCCAGTGCTGCCCTTTATATGAAAAATATCTTGCATGCCACAAGCCTTGAATTCCCATGTACCCCATGATCAATGTGATTCAACTGCATCTCGCATGTAAATCATATGACTCCCTCTATTTGATACTAGCGAATCATCACTTTGAGATTAGGCAGAAAATAAAAGCACCACTTTTCAGTGGGGAGGAAGGGTGAGAAGAGGTAAATACCTAATCAGAAATATATTTTCAGTATAGGAAAATAATAACTTCTGATACAGTATATTACCTCCATTCACATGTATAGCAAGAATAGGCAGAGGGACCAGTGCGAGGGATAGAAAATAAGTATCCTTTAAAAGCATACAAAGAACACCTATGAAGTATGATCCCCGTTAGGAGAGGAACACACGTGGGAGACTGCATCACTTCTGTACTAGGTATACTATATACCCAAAGTGAAATAGATGTTGCATACACAAGTGGAAAGTGGAAGGAACACAACCAAAAAAGGAAAGACAAACAGTTGGGTTGAAATCTGAATCACAGTATATCGGAAGCTCAATCGCATAGAAGAAAGACTGTAGAAGAACCATCTACATACAAGAATGTGAGAAAAACAAAAATGGAAGTTTGGAAGTGCTCCAAGGTGTATAGTGGCTAGGGTGCAACAGATCACAAGCAGCTGGTCAACTCCAGTGGTATCAGTAACAAAACCTCAGACCCATTGTAGGAGGAGGGTCCACACCATCTCCACCTCCAGTTAAGTAGAATGGAAGGATATACTGTGCAAACTGATCAACAAAATTGGCACATGTGCACAAATCCACAACCAACCACACATTCAAATGATGGTAGAAAGAGATGTGTCCACATGGCAGGTCACATTAAACTCAATCAGAGTGGCACCCCACTGTGCAACATCAGCCTCAGGCAGTGAAAACACCCTGAGGTGAAGTGTGGGATGAAGAACTGTTGCCTTGATCAACATTATCCTCTGGATAGGACCACACAGAAGCCAGAGTGCAACACCACCCTTCTGGTTCCACTGCACCAAAGTGAATCACGTCCAGAAGTATATAGCAATCTCACTCTCCAGAGAGAAGTACACAAAAGCAGGGTGCAACATCAACCTGAGATCCTGAGGCAAATTGTGTGAGGAAGAGGTATCACCACCTACACATTTGTGAAGATTCAGGTTGATTTATCCAGCTCTAATCCAAAATCACTAACTGGGAACCGAGACCTAGGTAATGGTAGGATGAGGGGTGAACTGCATTGTGATGGATCTAATCCAGAACAATATGATCTTCTGAATAAGACCACACAAAGGCTGGAGAACCATAGTACTCTTTGGGTCCCACCACCTGGAAGTGGATTGCAGCTATAAAATATAAGCAACCTCACCCTCTGGATAGAACAGCACAGAAGCTGCCCACAACATCAACCTCTGGGATCCATTGCAAGGAAACGGAGCATATTTATTTGTAGACATGCTCAACGTCATCCCCAAGATAGGACTACACAGATGTTGAAGTGCAACATCACCCTCTGGCTCCCACTGCATGTAAATGGATCCCATCTAGAAAATATAAGCAACCTCACCCTCCAGATAGAACTACACAGAAGCTGGGTGCAACATAAACCTCTGGGATCCACTGCACTGAGGTGAAGTGCATGATTGGAAAATCACACACCATTTACACCAGAAGAACACCACCACCCTACTCTCTAGTAAATGGAAACAAAGACATTCAGGAGGACTCCTCCATGATCCACCACCCCAGTAGCTCAGAATTAGAAAGTGGCAAGAACACAAATACTCTATTAGATGAACAAAGAGGATAAAATACGGTGGAAGAGTCCAGAAGAACACCAACACCAGAAACAGTGTAATGGGTGATCACGAAAACTTTAAATTGAAAAGCAGACTCCCTTGATTTATTCAATCAAAAGAATGGCAGGGATTGGCAGCTATCCTCTTCTGCTTTACTCATGTAAGTCCATGGGTTAATATGGTACAGAACAGGCATATTAATGAAGCAAATATATCATGAGGAAAGACCGAATAGCAATCTTATGAAAAAACCCATCTCAACAGTGTGCGTTATTGGCCATGGGTATATTGTGTGGCTATACAGTGTGGATTTGAGATATAGGAAGCAAACCTGGACAGGTAACACTCCCCACTGAGCAGGATCTGAATCCTAAGTGGGACATGCCACTGAGGGGAAAAATATATATATACAAAAGATAACCTGCTCAGTTACAGCCATACCGAAATTTGAAGTGTGGAAACAGGCGTAAGGCAGTACCTTGCTGAAGAAGAAACAGCTACCCAATGAAGATGGTGGGAGATGAACGTATGAAGAGTCGGCCACATTCTGACTGAAGTTTTTTTTCTAATGGACGATGGAGTTGAGACTTCAAGAAAAAGGGAGGGTACCCAATCTTAGGCAAAGACACTTGGGACAGAATTAGGGAAGAATAGACCAATAGAAGCAGTTGACACTCACAAATTGTAAGAGTAGAAGAAGAAAGGTCACTATAGGAAGCCATGCAGGCAATTAAGCAACAAAAAGCATATACTGGACACAGAAGTCTATCTGGAGCAGACCAAGTATATGAAATTGACGCAAGCCCAAAAGACTAGGTGTGAAACTGATACACAATCCATTAGTGGACAAACTGAAGATAGTATCTGGATTGATGAGAAACATGAATATGGAGATAGGCATTTGAGATGTCTACCCCTTGGTCATCCATAGTCCTAGAGAAAAAAAAACAACACAAATGTGATAAAAGAGTCCATGAGGAAATCGAAAAAGAACCAGTAATTGGTTGAGGCAAGACAAATGGATCATAGGACAAAAAACCAGAAGTAAAATCCTGGAGAAGGCTGGTTGACAGGCTTCACAGCATTCTGGGATAGAAGAGTCAGCACAACCTTGCATAGACTCAGACAGATAGCTGGATCCCGAGTTAATGGGAAGGAAAACAGTACAGGAGACAAAAGTGGAATGGAAAGAAAAAAAAAGGAGGAAATATCATTCTGACAAAACTTGGATCACCCAAGAATTGGTAGTAAATAACCACCATAGGAGAACAAAATCAGCTAAACATGCCCCAATTGGAGAGGAAACACCCTGAAAGTCATTGGAACTGCTGGCGACAATGAACACAACTTAGAGACACATGGCAAAATTTTCGAACACCTAGTGGTAGGAGCAGATAAAGGATGGGAGGTTGCAGGATGAGAAATAGTTATGAGACAGGTCATGGTATTAGAATGGGATACATGAGTAATCAAAGCCTAAAGAGTCGATCATGGGGTAAGTGGGAGTTGAAGGCTTGTGGCATGTAAAACATTTTTGCATATACAGAGCAGTACTGAACAAGAAAAGCTGTACATGTGATCAGAGGTAGTCTACCATAATGGAAAAACAATATAATAAACATCTTTTATTTACAACTATTATTTATCTGACAAACTTACAAAATTTGGTGTTTTTATGAGCCACTCTGAAAGTACCAATATCTTGGGGAAACAAAAACTTACATCTACTGGTTGAGGTCTTGTTATTCTCTCAGTCTGGATAGAGGTTCTGGTGGGACTTACTGGACTTAGTGAATTGCCAGACAGCAACCGACTTGGGGAGTGTCTACTCTGACTCTCGGGAGACTGGTGCTGGCAGTCACTTAAAGGGGATCTAACACGACTCACTCTATTGCTCAAAGTCAACGCTACATAGGATCCAGCTATTTACATAAAATATAAAAACACAAATAAAAATTAATTTTCATAAACACTTCTTCAAAAGAGTATGAACAAATTTACTATTTTGAGGTTCAATCTTCTTTTGTAGTTTAACCTTAGAATATAGGAAAATTTAAAAGAACAACGTTTGGTAGTTGGAAACTGGTAATAATTAAATCTTCATCTCGTCATGGTATGGGTTTTAGTACTTAACGTGACTTGTGTTGTACTGTACAATAGAAATAAAAGCAAAATTTTGATTTTAAATAGCTTAACATATATTATCAATAAAAAATTATTCTGGGATTTTTTCTGATTATCAGAATCCTTTGAAAAAGTTACTGACCCAGATATTGCATTTGAAACTTTTAAAATCAATGTGTGTAAACCTGATCAGCTTTAGTACTTAAAAAATTCTATTACTTTTGAATATATTTAAATCATGCATGAAGAATCTATTTCTACAAAAAACCTTCTTGTAGTAAAAACAAAAACGAAAATATGGCCACTTTTCAAGTGACAAAAATATTTAAAACCAAAAGACCCATTTAATTTAAAGAATACATAAACCAACTGAAAAAGCAAAAATAATTTATTTTTTGTATTCCTTTTGACAATTAGCTTTTTTTATCAATTAAAAAATAATAAGAAAAAGAATAACCATGGTCTCTTACCAATCATTTTAAAATGACTAAAGGGGCAGAAACTTAGTTTGAACTTATGATAGTTAAAGGCAGAAAAATATGGTCTTTTAACTGAGTATTAATTAATACCTAACCAAATGGTAATTTATAAAAGGTTACAACCCAACTGAATTTCACACAAAAAATTTCTAGGCCTTCTTCAGAAACAAAATGTATACATGAAAAAAAAAATCAATAATTTGAAATTAAAAATGCTCTTTGAGTTTTAAACAAAAATATTTAAATACTTTTGTTAGTAAATCACCTTTATTAACACCAAATAGAAGTAATCTCAAAATTCATTTGCAAACATGAGACATGGTTACTCTTCTTTTCAGAATCACAGAAAAAGGCCTTATCATTGAGAAATGTCTAGAATGCTAACAAACATGATACAAAACAAAATCACTGGAGTACTGATCCAAATGTTACATTTTAGACTGTAGAATTTTTTTTAGCTTATACTAAAGCATTTGATGTCTTGCACACAATTTGTATTAAAAATCTTTATAATTTTCTACCTTTACTTAATTAATATTTAGGCATTTTTAATGAATAAAAAATTAAATCCAAGATCATCACTATCTACACAACTGTTGCACTGTGCTCACCAGTTCCAGCTACTGTAAGCAGTTTCTCTCGTTTAAGCTTCTAACTGATTATATTAAAAAGTATGCATAAACATTTTTTTTGGTTAGTCACCATGCACATTTGTATAACATGATCCACAAATAGAGAAACAATTATATTAAATAAATTAAGAATGAAAATAACACTGACATTTAATGAGTTCCACAACTGCTTTGTGATCCATGTGAGTTACCAGTGTGCCATTCACCTAAACAAGCACAAAAATCAGTAAGACATTTGACAAATGAATTATGACAAAACCAATATACTTTGAGGTGATTTTGAAAACTCAATGTGAGTTCAAAATTTTGAGAACAATTTTCCTAGTGTCCCCTTACAATTACAGTTTCAATTACAAAGCAACATTAAGTAATATAACACAAAAAACATCATTATAACAAAAATAGCCTACAAGCATAATCAGTTAAAAGTTGAAAGAATAATACATTCTCCATCAGTTTTATCAAAACCCTTTTGTCCTTAATATTTAATTTTACAAGGCAATTTAAATAGTTACTTAAATAAACCAAGACTAAATATCAAAAACTAAACTTTTACAAGGAATTATCTAAAAATTAACAAATACTTGACATCTCTTGATACATAAGTTTGAGTGAGAAAACCTATACAATTAAAACAGTGATGTATCTGTGCCTATAAAACTTCATTAAACTATGCAAAAATGAAATTAGGAGTAGAGAAGTATGGACGATGTTACAATAAGCATAAGGGAAGGGTGGGTGTAGATAGTACTATGCATTGCACAGAGAAAGGTGTTTGGGGAATGTATCTGTCATCCCTCAGAGACCCCTTTCAAACAGCACTGTTTAGGTGTTAAGGTTTAGTGCATGAATTTCACTAGTTTATACACACTTAGAATATTAGTACCATAACCCTGCTGCATTTTAATATTTGACCACAGAAATCTAGATTTTGAAAATGTTTCTAGATCTGGTGTCTCTTTACTAGATATGTCAATCAGTTTGTCATTTTTGTTCAGACCATTTAGCTCAAAGTTTCTTTTGTACTAGAGATATTTAGTGTGTATCTCATGTTGTGGTAGGTATAGGTTTAACCTTGCAGTCACTCAGACACCCCACACTGCCATCAGATTCATATACCTAATCTCTTATGTGAATAGTCTACGCAAGTCAATTAACCGTTTTATTATCTTATGTACATAGAACTGCCTTTACATTTTATGATATTTGTACATTCAAATACAAAATAACACACCTAAACATGTTTTGTGTGCTCAGCATGAGTCTCCCCCACCAAGTATTTAATTACATTTAGACTTCATTTGGCAATACTTTATACTTCATACACCTAGATTTAATTAGATGTTTGCCATCATTAAAATAGTTTCAAAGAACTGCTATACTGTAGCTATATGCGGAACTAGTAAGACAACTAATTTCAATACTCAAATGGGAGTAAAATCTGGTTACTCAAATCTTCTGTGGTCGGTAAAGGGTTACCAAATATGAGCATCTTGCCGAGAAAAAAACTATTTCTACTTATTCATTACAATAAAACAAAATTATAATAAGATTACTTGTCAAATACTAAAATATTTTGTCTGTTACAATGTCCAACATCATATGAAAACCTTCATTATAACTATCACATACATTTAAGAACCACTTACAAGGAAACCAGCTTACAAATAAAATTTTAATCTTAAACTTTTTTTATACATACCTTAATTACTTGATCCATTATTTGGACTCCAGCCCTTGAAGCAGCACCATCTACCAAGTAATAATTAGCCCAATTTTAGAAAAATGTCAACTTTAAAAGACAGACAAAATTGAAAAATGCTTAATATAACTAAGTCTTTCTTCCCATTGTTAAATAGTGTGATGATTACACATCCATGAAAAAAAAGTTCAAATCACTATTATTGCTTTTAGCCAATCTAACAACATCAGATACTAAATTAAGGGTTAAGGTCAGCATTTCTGAAAGAAAATGAAAGACCATAACCTAGTGTTATTTTTAAGTCTGTAAGACAACAAGTATAAGAAATTCTTATCTGTTTGGAAAACTTTATACCACATACTTCTTATTAGAAATTTTCACCATAACTTTTTCCATATTGCAATTTACAGCAGTGTTCTGTAGTTTCTATAAAGAAGGTTAATGCTCCAGTGGTTTTTGAAAAATTTGTAATTATTTTTGTTCCTTCAAGGATACCATTCTAATAGTAAGTAAACACACAGCTCTATGTAAAGTAACCTAAAATTAAGTTTAGATCCACTATTAGGGAACAATCAATTTATGTGGATGCAAGTTTCAATACTTTTCACACAAGAAATCAGCCAAAATAATATATAAAATAATAAATTTTGTCAAAGAAGAATGGTGAAAAGTTCACTAATTTAAAGATTGTCAAACTTTAACACCTCTAAGTTTTAGTTTAACCTCTTTTTGATGCTTCATGCCCTGAAACAGCTTGAAACTTTCATTACAAGTTGTACGGTTTGTTTCTCTCATAAATAACAGTCAGATTGAAGAAGACATAAGAAAGTGTCAAAACTCATATCACTGTAAATTTATTGTTCCCTAATAGTGGATCTAAGCTTTATTTCAAATTACTTTACAAGATATTGTAAATATTCCTACTATTAGATTGTATATTGTACCTGAAAGACTCAATAGTATAGACAAGTGGACCCAATCCAACAATATAAAACAAAGAGTGAGTCTTGATTCTGAATGCTGGTGAAAAAGAAAAAAAAAAAAACAGCCCCAAAAATTCTTGTTGTGTGAAATGTGATGAACATTACAGTATAATGAAGCAACCACTCTTTCACTTGGGGAATAACAAAGTAACCGGTGAAACTTGTCAACTGCTTCATATAGTATATGTTTGTGAACTCTGTAAATAAGTTTGTTAAACTAAAGTACTTTTTAGTTTGAAACAATTAATATAATTTATTAAAGAACTTGTAATGAAAGACAGTTTACTACATGCACTAATCATAGTAATATATATAAACACTTCTTATTAACAAATACATCTGAAAAAAAGGATTGTTCAGTAAATAATTTACTTTTTATTTTCATGACCTTTTGCATTTTCCTTATATTACTGGATAATGCTGTATAGTTAATTATAACAAAATAAAAAATTTATGTATATAAAACTAAGAACTGAAAAATGTGACCTTGTTTTTAAATAATTATGATTTCTTTTTTCACCATACACTCTAATAACATACACACATAATAACTGAATTTTGACCTGGATAAAGAATGCTCTTACTTAACTTTTTAATAACTGTATAATTATATATATATATATAAAATAAATTAGAATGAGAAGGCATTTTCTTGCTTAAGGTTTATTCAGTGCAAGCTTTTGGCTTTAGTATTGGAATTATTATCAAACACAATCTTTATCAAAGTAGGCCTAACTAGATTTTTGTCAGTCTAGAACAAGTTTCAAAGATGAAAAGTTGTGTGATCTAGTTGAATAGAAAAAATACATTATAATCATAAAAGAGAAATATTATATAAATAATATCAAAGAAAAACTTTCAGAACAGTCGAGTCCTCTAAAATTAAGGGTAAAGAAGTCATTATTATTGTTACTTAATTGTTCCTTGGATATATATATATAGGTGAATTAACTTTTGAGCATTTCATTATCATTTTGAAAGAAGAAAGTAAGAGTGTTATTTAGTCGATGAATCTTACTCTTTACTTGCCCTACTGAAGAGGCCATAGGACAATTTAACACTAATATATCTATAGAGCACTTCTTTAAACTCCTAGATATTTCATTGAAACTCTGATAATTTTACACTATGTATGTCTGATGGCATTCCAACTGGATCACCCCTTTCACTTAACACATCAGAAATATATATTCAACAACTTGAAGAAACCACCATATCAAGATTGATAATTTTACACTATATATGTCTGATGACATTCCAAATGGATCACCCCTTTCACTTAACACATCAGAAATATATATATCCAACAACTTGAAAAAACCACTATATCAAGATCTGTACAAAAGATACTTCTTTGAAACAAATATTTAGATGACACAAGTACAGAGATAAGCATGTATAATGCAGGAATCAAAAGTAAATCTGATACAAAAACAAAATCAATGCATTAACCAAATTAATGAACTTACTATTGGTAAACACTGATTACAATGTTATGTATCTCATTCGAAGGAACTTGTAAATAAAAGTGGTTTCACAGTATGTATGATAAATGCCTAAATTTTTGCATAACAACTCAATAGTACATACAATACATTTCTAGAAAAATAAATATACTAGTTCCTTTGACTTTTGGATGATTCTGTATGAATTGTACAAATTTGATGCTAAACTACAAGCCAGATAATCTAATAAAAGTAAACAGTGACTAATTTATTGTAATGCTGATGATGAAATCACTGTTTTTTTATTTATTACTTAGTGGACTCCGATAGTACTTGACACTTACAGCTAAGGTTTATATGTTCCATATGCAAGGTATATTCTATTATTTCTTTCATGTTACTTAAATTAACAGTATAGGTTGGACTGTTTAAAGTATTTTATTTATAAGTTTTCATTTAGTATTATTTTTACACTTTTATTATAGAGACTGTTTTGCATTTTTAAGATTTGGATTTAGGACAAACCTAAATCTCCTAAACTTGCCAAACCCTAAGTAAGTAGCTTGCTCTAATCAGAAGTTAATACTACAACCTGCACAAAAATCTATGCATATTATTTTTGTAAAGAGACATTTTCTATTGAACAAAATTCTGAAATTAAAGTTTGTATCAACAGATATATTAATAACAATTGCACACAAACTGGAATAATCACTCACCTGCTTTAACTGACTGCACATACACAGGATTATGTCCCGTCACTGTAAATCCATATCCATTTTCATCTTTCTGCACAATCACAGTCCGACTAACAAATTGTTCAGCTTTTCGAAAAAAACATTAACAAACATTAAATGAGTAATAATAAGATTCATATTACTTAAATTAGATTTATTGTGTATAACATAAAATATCACATCGTGAACGAAGACGACTTCATTTTACACCGTAATTTCAATTAGTCTAATTTGGGTTTCCAGTGAGAAAGATGAATTATACATGTACCATCTAGTACGGTAACAGCACTAATACAGGCCACATCTGATGAGGTTTTTCAACTAAATTGTACATATGGCCTGAGCTTCAAGAGTACAGTGAAGCTGGAAATACCATTACACCTTTTTCCAACCAAAAATTCACACTGCACTAGTTTAAGTTAAATTTTTTCATAAAAAATACTTACAGCTCCATTGAAAAGTTTTATCAAACTCACCATCTTTATCAATTTTGACATTACATTCTTTATTTTTTCTAGTTTCTAATATATTACTGTGTAATAACAAGTTACATTGTTACTTTTTAGACTTCCTTGGGACAGGTTCTAAAAACTTTTCGTGGCATAATTAGGAGTTAGGCTTTTTTTTTATTTCTTTTGCACAAGCTTAATCTGAAAATATGGTTACATGACATCACTGTTTGATGTAGTGTTCATGCATAAATAATTAATTAATAATTAAGCTTAGTCTTTCAGAATGTTTAAAGCAACAATGCCAAGACAGTTTTGGCATAAAGAGATTTCTAGTAAGTTGTGAATTAGGGAAAATCTTCATAGTAGTGTTTGGATAATCAGTGTACACAAAAAATTGAAAGAAATTATATACTTTTCACAAACATGTAAGAAAAAAACACAAAACCCAAGATGCACTGCAGTTAAGCTTTTTTTTTCATACTATTCATAGAATTTTACAAAAGAAATAAAATTTTATGTCATCTGCTATGCTTTTAGCAGGTTAGTAATGAAAACTGAGGTTGTACAACACACACACATATTCACATCAGTTCATCTTTTCAAATGGCTGTCAGACTACATGTACACTGTACTTCAGGTTCTATAATATTAGGTATATGTAAGTGTATATAACAACATCAAGTGGCATGTTAGCTCAATACAGAAAATTGAGGTATACAATGTTACAATGTACATATACCTATGTGCTTAAAAAGGTGTGGTGGTGAAAGATTATATTTTTAAGAAAAACAGATCTGACAAAACCCATTATCAAACTTGTAATTTTTTATATCCAGTCTTGTCACCTTTGCCACATGAATAGAGAACCCAAAGCTTATAGGTTACCCTGATATTCTTGTGTACCTATTTCCCAGTTCACATTTTAAATTGGCCCATATAATAACCTCCTAGGAGAGAAAAAATGTTCTAAATTTCATGCATGTGTGATCTAAGTACTATTGATTTAAGTGAATAATAAAAAAATTCTTTTAATTCCATGGTTATAAACTGATTATCACTAAATCAAGTCATGCGTTCTCTTTAAACATGCCATTTTACTTGCATTACATGTGTTATTTACACTGAGCAACTGTTTATTTAATATAATTGAAATATTAATACTTATGATGCCCTAAAAATGTGCTCTATAAATTTGGAAGCAGCTTACACAGATGCCCATCTTATGGCTAATCAGAGAAGTACTGTTCTGTACTTCTATACACCAAAATTTGTGAATTCAACCAACTGATAATCACAGTAGCTTAAAATGCTTATACAAAAGAAAAGTTTTCTTTTTGAATCTAAAGTGATAATTTTATAGCTTTTACATATGTACCGAAAACTTAAAAAAAAAGCTATAAGAAAAACAGATTGCCATTTTATTATTCCAATCACAGATAATATCACTGAGCTACTTTATGTATGTCATGTACACGTATTATTATTACTGTACATAACATAAAAACTTCATGAAAAGCAAATGATGTTTCTAATTAACAAATTGCAGTTTTTGATCACAAATATATCTCAATTTACATTTCATTTCTTGAATCCACCACACAATTCCCATAATATCTGTATTTACTATTATTAATGTTTAATTACTCTAATAAATCAGACATCTCCCATTTCACAAGTATACATGTATATAAATTTGCTTTTACGAAAAATATTTTTTATTCTATAAATCATATTTTTTTCAAAATATTTTTATGGAATTTTCCACACAACTCATGGGCTATCACATAGTAATAAATATATGTGTTTAATTTGTTTTTTGTAAATAGTTTATGTAAATCTTCCTTTCATTAGTAAATTGCAAAAGTAGTTTTGTGTTAACTTATATCTGTTTGAAATCTACAAAAATTTTCTTCAATGAGAAGACATCAAATAACCTGAGATAATGTAAATTTATACAGTTTAGGGATGGTTTGAATGGGTAGCAAAGAAAACTTTATTAGAACAATAACATAGTAACAAATATACAATGTTCAGAGAAGTCACAGGACTGGATATTGCTTAAGATTTAATAAAGGTATCTTGCTAATGTTCAGTTTTGTTCTTTGTTTAAAATTATGGTATCATTAACTTTCAATAGATTTATTATGAGTTGCAGTGTCTGTAAATATGAGGGTTTTATTACGTTCACCAAATAAAGTAAACTTATCATCATATCGGACAGGTGACTAAAAATATTCATGCAGATAGGTGTCAGTGACATTGAACCTGGTCATCCACAGTCCTGGTAAAACAATGCCAACACAGAGTGAGGAATGACTCCATCGTTTGCCTTGGAGTATCTAGGAATTGATGTGGACAAGAAAGATTGATGGCTAGACGCCAATCTCCTGTCATCTTGGGCACAACAAATAGATGGGAATAAAACCTTGGAAGAACTGGGACAACTCTCTACACTGCTCCCTCGACCAACAAATCTCTGACAGCCCTGGAACAAAGTTCTGAAATCTGAGGATCTGCAGGAGGCAGAAATACTACAGGTTGGGTGGATAATGGTGGTGAAGATGTGAAGTTAATGAATAATCCTGATGGAAGAACCAGCAGTGCCTATGGATCCATGGTAAAGGTTTTCCTCGTGTACAGAAATTCTCAGAGCAATGCCCCCACCAACTCCAAAGTCATATGGTAGCTACTGCATCTGCTGATAGCATTCTAACAGGACAGAGGAACCTCATGGATATGGATGGAATCTATTCTGGGTACCAATGGACTGAGATCAGGACACTCAAGTAAGGGTAGAACTATGACCCCTGTAGTAGCTAAGGGAAGTCAAGAAGTCAACAACAACAGGGATGAATGCAGGTGGGCAACATCAACCCTTGATTCCAACAACTCTGTAATGACCTCAAAAATCAAGGGTCAGAGAAAGGGGCCTCATGTAACTCATGAAGGGCGACAACATTTCAATGGGCTCCCTCCAACAATGCATCTCTACCACAGAGATCCTGACAACATACCAGCCAAGAGACTAGGGAAATGGCAGAAGCTGACAATCGAACCAATGTAGATGTTAATATTTGTCCCAACTCATCATCAAATTGATGTGGCAATCTCTGAGAGGTGCCATGGTTGTTGAAACAACATGCTTTAGCCTACTACTGCCATGTGGACTTGTATTTAGACTCTCAAGAAACAGAACTGCTCCTGGAAATTTGAGGTTCCAGAATGGAGTCTTTGGTAAAGCTGAATAGATCACAAGTTTCTAGGATTCATCTGACCCGAAATATGATGCTAAGATATTTATCATCCCTCTTAATTTTGTTGGAAAGACAAGTCATAGCTGTCCCTTTATAAAATTGAGCAGTAAACCTCCCTGCATGAACCATAATATCAGGGAATGGACGGAGAACTAAGTATTTGCCCTCAGACCTTTCCGCCATCAAGGAAGATGCAGACACAAATAAAATGGGGAAAAACTCAAAACATTACACACTCGATTTACCAACTGAATAAAAGAAGCCTTAGGCAGCTGATCCCAATTTCGCCTCCTGAGAAGATGACAGAATAAAGTAATGCACTGGAAAAAGTAAATCTAAATTCTCTCCAGAATGTCCAGAATCACCTGCATGTGCAGCCTCAGAGCCCCATAGATAAACCCCACCGGACTGATGATATGCATCACTACAAATAACGTCATGGACAGCCTCAACTGTGTATAATTGTCTAATAATTTGGACATTATAGTAAGAAAAAATAGTTGAGCTATAAAACTTTCAGATTGACCAGGCACATTGACAAGCTTGTATATAAAGATAAAAAAACAGTTCTACACCCCCCCACCCCCCAGAAATATTAAAGGTACAAAAGCCATCTGATTACTTTACTAAGTCAAGACTCACTAATTAAAATAACAATGTATATAATGCTGATTGTTTTGGTGAATAGGTGTTGAACAGAAATAAAAATGTCCTGATATTTTTACCTTAATAGGAAAATTTACATAATAAATTATGGAAGTATGGAAACTCACAAGAATTAAGCTCCTTCCAAACATAACTTTTCACAAATTTTCATGTATACTGTGGTTATTCTTCTATAAGAAAGCTGAATTATGATTAAACCTGTGGTATTCTAATTCTTACAAAGATATACAATAAAAAGTCAGATTTCAGATTCATGAGCTCGAACTTCAAGCCGAATAAAAACAACAACAAGCAGCTTTGTTTTTATAACCAATACTTGTATTTTTGCAAAAAATTGGTTTTCAGTGTGCTTAAAGATTGTAATACTGATCTGTTTAGCAATTTTATATGATAAAATTGGTTCAGTTGTTTGGACAAAAGATCAGCCAATAAAAAAAAAGAAAAAGAAAATGTATTGCATGTAAATATGTCATCAATGTGGTGCTAATGTTCCTAACCAAAATAATATTTATATGTACTGAGGTACGTGTATATGTATAAAATATTATTCAGTTTAAGTTTCACAAAAAAAAAAGAGTCAATGGATATTTCTATTAAGCATTTTTCTTAAATTTATGCTGAAGGAAAGAAGCATGTCTAGATCTTTATATTGCATACTAAATAAACACTTAGAAATGTAAAAACATAAATTTTCAAAAACACAACAGTACAGTAT